GAAAATATGGCTATCGTGTAGCTGTTGAGTGAGACCAAACTCCTATTTTATTTGGGTGCAGTAGGGAATAAGAAACAAAGAACAACTTAATGATCACAAATATGATAATATGAAAGTTGAAAAATGGCAGCAACAGAAATGTGTAATATTCATTTCAATTATTGAAATAAGTTATTATTATATTTGTATAGTTTTAGAATTTAACTTTTTATGCAATTGTTATTCAACCTGATATTTTTGTGTTTATCTGTATTTTACAGTGGCTGGACTAAAACATGGCTCATCCAATTGGAATTTAGATCCAGAATGATCCATTTATACTAACAAATTAAATATTTGTAGAGACAGTATGGAGTCCTGACATTTGCTGTCTGTCACTACAATTGGCAAATAATTTTTTGCAAATTAGTGAAAAGGATTGACTCTAGTTTACCTGTTTATATGGTATTTGATGAAGTCCTACTGTAAGTACAGCACAAATAAATGTACACACTTACTTATGTATACAAAATTGATGTTTGATTCTAAAACTATTAAAAATCAAAAGGAAATGAAGCTGAAATATAAATATAAAATATAAATATGAAATAAAAAAACTTAAAACATATTTTTAAAAAATTGCCTGGCCAACTGTCTGAAATAAAATAAGCACTAATTGCTAAATTATTAAAATGTCAATAAATGAAAGCCAAATAAAACATGTTAACATAATAATAGTAATACAAATGACAAAAGCATATAATGAAATTACTACAACTTGGACTAAAATGAAAATGTAAAAATAAAAGCTATTTGAAAATAGTATATAAATAATATTAAAACAGCACTGGAAAGCAGTCTTTTATATTGCTATTCAAATGAGGAAGGGTTTAGAAGATGCCTTATGAGGTTTGTCGCAATCTCTACGTCAGGGGTGCCCAACCCTGCTCCTGGCGATCGACTGTCCTGCAAAGTTCAGCTCCAACCCTAATCAAACACACCTGAAGCAACTAATTAGGGTCTTCAGGATCACTTAAAAATTAAAGGCAGGTGTCTTTGATTAGAGTTGGAGCTAAACTTTGCAGGACAGTCGATCGCCAGGAGCAGGGTTGGGCACCCCTGGTCTACAGTATACAATTTTGCCTATTGTATGTGTTTTAGATTTCGATTGGATAATTTCATGCATTTCAAAATAGTGATGTTTATGTTCATGTGAACAAACATTGCTCTAGCAAATATGAATCCAAGCTCACTGCGTTACAGCCTAGTTTCTTTTTTTCCAAGGACAAATTCAAATGAATTGTGAGCTACTTTGGCTTTTGATGACTTGCATAAGTAATATTATATATTATTGTAAATAAGTCATTTTCCCTTGAGTATTTTCTCCCAGGACAATACACATGCAGCATTTGTGTGCATAATGGATGACTGCGAGAGTATTATGGGTAATCACACCCAGCGAAGACCCCACGAGCTTGTGATTTACTGCTATCAGAGGCATTATAATTGCAGGGGCTGGGAATTACAGGGCAACCATGAGAAATAAATCTTAACCATGCTGATTTTCTGCTGCTGCTTATTAAGTCTAGGAGGAATACACGCATTTGTTTATCCAGTTACCATTTTTTTATGCAGCATAGTCGAGACTGGGCAGTGTGTTCTGTTCTGCTGAAATGAAAAACACTTTGAGATCTTATCTTTCTCCTTAAATTTGGTGTTTGTGATTTGCAGATACTGAAAATATGTGTGCTAATAGTTTTCTAAACCACATTTTGATTTTTACCCGTACCCTTAAAAATAAGAGTGCCAAAAGCAATGCCATAGAATAACCATTTTGGGGTTCCCAAGGAACCTTTCAACAAACAGTTCTTTTAAAACACTATTTTCTTAGTTTTAAGAACATTTTAATAATCTAAAGAACATTTTCCACTACAAATAACCATTGTGGAATGGAAAGGTTCCATGACTGTTAAAGGTTCTTCGTGGAACCATAGATGCCAATAAAGAACCTTTATTGTAATTATGTGTAGTGTTTATTGTTTCTTTCATTCTTTTTTCTTTTTTTGAGTGGAAGTTTGTTCATAAGCTGCATGTGCAGTTGTTGAACTCAATAAAGACGTTCTTCATCTCTGGCAGGTTTGATTTCAGTTGATTTTAGGTAGAGATCCACTTCATCTAGTGCTCCTATTATTATTTTAAAGACTAAGAAACCACTCCAAACGATTCAGTGCGTGAGTGAACAGTCTGAATCAGCATATTCAAACCATTTCGCTGACATATTTTGACTTAATTCATTGACACAAAATGATGCAGAAGAGTGATTTATTCATGCATTGAACATTGCTCGTTCTGATTATAAGCAAACAACAGAAAACACGAGAGAAAAATGGATTGCTAAAATACATAATACAATGTAAAGAAGTCTTTTTTGAAGTTGTAAATAATTATTTGTGGAGGATGTTTTACAAGAAAATACTATTTTAGTTTTCCTACTTAAAAATTACGTTTAATTAATTTTTTCTTTCTTTCTTTCTTTGCTACTGAAATTGAAAGTTATTTGCTGTGTGTCATAGCTTTACCCTCTGGAGGTCACATTTGTCATTTACTTAAGTGATTGACGATGTCTCATTTTAGAATAGTAACCAACTTAATGTTATTCCTTTTGAGGCGTAAATTACTGTCATTTCATTCAAGAATGCTGTTGTCAGTCATCATGAGTCTGTGCCGTGAACGTAACATACTTTTGAAAAACCAGCGGTTATTTGATCCAGCAGTCATGTAAAGTATTCGAGTCAATGTAATTAAAGGTGTACTTAAAGGTGCACTAAACGAATTTTGCCAAACAATGTGAGATGGTCCTCACTGCAGAACACAAGATCCAGGGGACGTGGTTGGATCCAGCCAACTCCTCCCACCTTACATATACCTAAACCTACCCGCCTCCACCCCCTGATCCCTAAACCCACCCATCTCCACCCCTAAACCTACCAATCTCCACCCCCTAGATGTGGATCCAACCACACCCCCTGGATCTTGTGTTCTGCAGTGAGTGGCTACTAAACAATGTTGATATTTGAAAGCACCAAAACAAACACGCCCATACCACAACAGGACCACGCCCCTATTTTGATAACCCCGCCCCACACGTACGTACACAACTGCAGCGACAGTGGCAGAATCTGCTATGCGCAGCATATTCAAGCAAAAGCCAACACAGATTAATTATGTGAAACAAAGCAAAATCAATGTAACTCACCTATCAAGAAGAAACAAAGCAACCTCTACGTCTGATTCCAGGCCTTCCCGATCCTTTAGTTCTCTCCACCGCTGGAAAGCTGCTTTAATATTTACGCGGGTCCTACCTCTTGCCTGATCGTAACCCTTCTTTTTAATGTTTAGTTCCTCCGAAATGTTCCTCTTTTTTTTATCTGCCATCCCTCGCTATCTATAGTCAATCCGACTAGACACGCCCCTTACAGCTGATTGGCAGCGAGTGTGTTTTAGGACTCTGTCCAACACTGGTCAAAAACGTTTTTTCAAATATTGCTTAGTGCACCTCTGAGTATCTCACTTTTTCTGCTGCAGTTTATTTCTGCGACAATAGAAGTGATATCGACATCTACAAGGCATTGAAGGTACTACATCTTAAGCGTTTTGCCCTTACTCACCCAAACTTGTCAACACGGTTACTCGAATGTGAGTGCATTAGTAGGTAGTTGTGAATCTCATGTGTTTGATAAATTAAATGAGGACATGGCTGAGAACTTTTTGAAGGGCATTGGTTTACTTATGCCCTTTTTGAGCACTTGAGCTTAACTGAGACTTAGTGTTTCAGTGTTAGACGTTTAAGAGGCTGTTGTGTCAACCTTGATTTATTGCAATATTGAGGTGTTCAGAAAAGAAACGTGATTGCTGTCCTCACAGAGATCACCTGTTTCTTGTTTTTCATGGGCATGTATCTTAGGTGTTGAGGACTAGTGCATGTTTGAGCCTAAATCCTGTATGAATAATATAATTACTGTAAGTACTGTTCAAATTAGATACTCGAAGACTTTTAATCAAGCCCAATATTGGAATTGGTGACTTGTAACTTGTAATGGAGTAATATTTACTGTAGGTTACTTTTACTCAAGTACAGATTTCAGGTACTCTTTACACCTCTGCTGTTAAGCGATCATTGTCACAGTTATAAACATAACGGCTTTCTTCTTCCATGAGGGGGTTTGGTGTCACAACGGCCCATTAAAGACCTGTATGAATTTCTTTCAGCTGTTGAACACACACAGAAAAAGATATTTCGAACAGTTGACGGTAGACATTGACTTCCATAGTGTATAATGATTCAGAATGTCATAACTGAATCTTCCAGTGAAAATGACTATTTAATGCTTTGTGTCTAAATACGTATATATTTTATTATTTATTATTAATGGAAACATAATACATGGGTCACTGAAATGAATGAATGAATGAATGAATGAATATATATATATATATATATATTTTTTTTTTTTTAATTTTTACAATTTTGCCCTCAAAGTCATGTGATGTGACCAAAAATGTCTTGTGGTGCAACCAATTTAAATGGGGAGAAAGAATAAATAAATACATGCATACATACATACATAAATCCATAGTTCAGGTTTTAAAACCATCCAAAAACATAATGATATTTAATTGATATTCTGTTGACATGTAATTAATAATTCACATTATTTGTAAAATAAATAAATAAAATAAATAATAACAACAACAATAATACTTTTTACCTTAAAAAAATTAAAAAGGAAAATAGATTTACATTTAAATAATATGTACACTCACATGTATTCAATGTTTAAGGAAAATATTTCAGTGCTTTTTTACTTGATGTTTATCCGAGTCATTACATTTATAACATTTCTAGTTTTTCAAGTTTTTCAAAACCAACATGAATACTACGTGAACCTTTTTAGAAAGGTTTTTTTTTTCTCTCTCTCAGTGTAAATGACGTAAGAATCTTCTATGTGTCTCTTTTCCAGAGCCGAGTAAACCCTGTCAACGTGACTCCTCCCATTCAAGCTGTGGATCAAGACAGAAACATCCAGCCTCCGTCAGACCGCCCAGGAATCCTGTACTCGATTCTCATCGGTAAGTCTTTGTAAGCTCTCTGTACTCTATATTGAGTCGCTACTGGCATACAAGTCCTCACTGTGCAGGAAACAGTAGTATTCCAGGAGAGGCAGAGCGGAGCAGCGGGTCGGAAATACAGCAGGAGTTAAATGCATTTATGCCACGGGCAAGGTGCGCCCACCCACTGTGCTTTGAGATGAAACCTGGAAGCAGAGCAGCAGGCTCAGGGAACCACGCCGCTCGCGACCTGAGCCGAGGAACTAAAGTGCACCGCCGGAATGGTTAGACCTCCAGTCAGGGATATGTCAGAACACATTGTAGGCCACAGACGTGCGGCTCAATATGACAGCAGCCTCATGCTTTTAACTATCAACAAAGCACTTGTGTGCCACTATTTATAGAGGAAGTGCATTAGTGGTTTTATTTTGCCTTTCTGTTTGAAGTATGGCTATGAAAATGAATACACTACTCACTGTGTATGCCTCAAAATCATGGTGCCCTGGTGAGTTATTGTTCAATGCTGAACTTTTGAATACAAGTCCTTTATCTTATAAAGGACTTGCATTTATAACACAAATAAATTTTTTGTAAATTAATTTCTTCCTCAACCTTCTGTTTTTGTAGGGAAACCTGCATCATATGCAGAGTATTTCTCCTTAAATCGGACCACAGCTGAGCTCCAGCTCCTGAAGCCCATCAGCAGGGAGCAGTACCAGCATTTAGACTTGGTAATCAAGGTAATAATGACAACATCAACAATGAAACTATTATATATGAATGCCTGGAAAATCACTGAAATTAAACATCAAACATAAGGAAATTAAAACAAAAAAAATTATAATTTTTGATAAATACATGAATGCATACATCTATGATTGTCAAGAAAATCAGCTAAATTAAATGTCAAACATTAAGAAATAAAAAAAAGTATCATGATTTTAGATAATATATGCATGCATGCACGCATGCATAGATGAACAAATGCCTGGATAATGAGTAACAATTAAAAATCCATACAATTAAATGTCAAACATCAGGAAATTATACATACATACATTGAATGAAATAAATAAAACAAACAAATTAATTAATGAATTTTCTTTAAAATGCTAATTAAATATCAAACATCAGGAGATGCAATCTAATTATTTTGGAAATTAATGAATGAATGAAACACAGTACAATGAAATGCCAAACAACAGTAAATAAATTAAAAAATCATATTATTATTATTATTATTATACATACATAAGTAAATAAATAAATAAATAAATAAGAAGCATCAATATCAGTCATTGAAAGATCATGGACATTTTTATAGCAATTTCAGGGGTATGAAAATGTACCGTATACTATATGACTCGGATCCCAAAGGGGAAATTGTGGAATTGAGCTGATCGTGTTCATGAGTTTAGAAACTGAACATCAGGGTCTAGAATGTTAGTTAGCTTACACAGGTAAGGGGTGATGATCCGTAAAGAACACTGTACATGCCATCGGCCTTTTCACAGTGGGAAGCATGAGGTGGACATGAACTAGGTGTTGAACCCTTTAGCTCTTCTCAGGATCAAAGAGAACAAGACTAGCTGTGAATCATTTCAATCCTAATTGACTACATGAATAATCCTGACAATATTTACTCACTCTCACGTCATTCCAAATGGTTTTCTGCTGTTGAAAACAAAAGGAGTGTGAACGTGATTTGAGAACTGCAACAAACTGCAAAATTTTCAGAATGTTCATCACACAGAATTACTGTATGACTTCATGAATGAAGTGCACTAGTCATATGCGGCATTTACTTGATACTTTCATGCCGCTTTGGTGCTTTTATGTCTTTTTTGGAGCGTTCAGCCCCTGGCCACTGCCCGCTTTCAGTGTATAGAAAATAGAAGCGTGAACATTGTTAAACTTCTTTGTGTTTCACAGTCAAAAGCAAGTATTATAGGTTTGAAACAGAGTGAAGGTGAGTAAATGATGACAGGATTTGTATTTCTGGATGAAGCAATTCAGGTGTTGTCTTTATATTGCTATTTCTGGCACTCTTTTCCTTCTAGCCCTATTTAAAGTGTCTGTGTGTAGCAGGGTTTATTTGGAATGAACAAAATGAGCAGAATATACAGAGGAAACATTTTCCCCCTGACTGCTCAAGCTAAACTAACTCCATTGTCCAGTTGGTCTCGGTCTTTCACAATGACAGTTATAGAATATATATTTGACTGTTAGTCCTTTTCCATTATGTAAAAACAAGCAGCACTTTAAGTTGCACGATTAATCCATTAGCAATGAAACCACACACCGTAGAGTGTGCTGAAAACCAGAAAAAAAGAATATGTAAACCATTCTTTCTGTGTAAAGCTGACATAAATCACAATTTACCCTATTTATATTTCTGAATTGATTGATTGATTGATTGATTGATTGATGACAACAACAACAACAAGAATAATAATGAAATTAATTATATACTTTACACTGTATCACAGACTGCCAGATACAGTATTGTTATTGTAATATTATACAGTGTGTGTGTGTGTGTGTGTGTACATGTTTTTCTTTACTGGTGGGGAATTAAAACCTGAATACACACACCAACTCATGGGGACTCATGGGTACAAAAGCTTATAAATCATACAGAATGAGATTTTTTGAGATTGTAAAAATGCAGAAAGTTTTCTGTGAGGGCTAGGTTTAGGTGTAGGGTTGGTCTAGGGCGATAGAAAATACAGTTTGTACAGTATAAAACCCATTACGCCTATGGGGAGTCCCCATAAACCACCAATACCAACGTGTGTGTGTGTGTGTGTGTGTGTGTGACTTTCATTCTGTCTACTTATATTTCATGGTGCAAACTGTTCTGAGTGCTTCATTCGACTTTTTGATGTTCCCACAACCAAAAAAAAAAAAAAGTTAGCTGGGTTGGATATATTCATGAATCTACTGCTGTTATGCACAATATCAAATGAATGATATACTTCACACTGTATCGCAGACTGCTAGGTACAGTAGTTTTGCCTCTGCAAATCACTGTAAGATTAGCAACAGAGTAACTCTTTAGTTTTTCCTAAGGGAATTTCAGTTGTAGCACCACAGATAAAATCAGTCCTATTGTGACAACAGCATGTCAGCCTGCCAGTCAAGATCTCAGTTTCAAAGCAAAAGCAGTGGGGCAGAGCCCCCGTTTGAGTCCCCTCAAAATCCAATCACGTAGCCTGTATGCTACAAGAATCCCAAAATTTGTCCGTTTGCACTTATCTGTCAGTGGAATTCTGTAATACATCAGATGTACAGTGGCCCCTAAAGTATATGGACAGTTAAGCCACACTTATGAATGTCATTGCATTAGATCAAAGTCAGAATTTCAGCATCATGCATTTTAATGTTTAAAATGCATGAGACTGTCAATCAACCATCTGTGGGCGGAACCTGGACATCCACTAGACTTAGAAGAATAGCTTTATGGACAGAAATATAATCTTTTTCTGTAACTTTAATTATCTTATATATATATTGATATATAATGCCTCGCCGTGAGCCAGTATACATCTCACCACCAAAATATTATACATAATTTCATATTTTCATGCATTCCACAAAAATGCCTGTGAGGTTTCAATTTAAGCATGAGAGGTAATCTAGTTGATGCAATAAACCTCATATTCTGATGAGTAACATGTTTATCACACTGGATGCTGTATATTCATTCATATTTACAGTTCTGTCAAGTCTTGTTGATTTTCAGTCTTTCTTCCGTACCTTTAAATGTCACTCTGAACTTGCCCTTCAGCCTAAATTGTAGCTGTCTAGAAATACGTGCTGTCACTCAGATGGCTAAAGCTGATTTTTCTTGGTTTCTAATGTGAGAGTGATGATATAGTCGCTCACATATTACAGCAGAACTGAGTTCATCTTTAGTCATGCTTGAGTAAGGCAGCCCACAGCTTAAGGACTTTTCTATAGTACTTTACTATTTATATATTTGTCAGTAAACTGCAACAGAACTGATAATGCTTTAGTTCTGCACACCATTATAGATGGATTTTTTTTCCATCGGCTTTTGGATTATTGCAGAAAATAAGCTCTGTGACGAAACAAACGTTTGTGGTTCTTACACATTTTGTTCATCATTATAATATTCACAAATGAACACCGCTTTTACGAATTTTGAAGCCCACAGTAAATATAATCGTCAGGAGTAAAAAGCTAAATGTGGGATATAAAGAAACTACACCACATTCGCATGACCTCAACGTCACCAGCATTATGCTTCCGACAACTCTTTCAGTCTTTATTTAAAATACATTTTCCCAGAAAGTTTGAGTTTGCAAACGCATGATTATAAACACAATGTGGCTGTGAAAGAGTCCAATGAGACTAATGAGAAAATGTGTTTTCCAGTTCAGTATGATGGTGTTTAATATCCCAGATTAGCTCTATAGTCACATTTAGCTACTTATTAGCAACAACCCTTTTCAAGGCAAACGATATGGGTGTATTACTTATGTATTTTATGTCGTAGAATAAAACATGGAGATATCTTGAGCTTGTGTTTACCAGAGACCTTATTTCAGGCATTACTGAAATAAGTAAGTATTTAATTTATTGAATATATTGTAATTATTGAATACAGGACAATTGAGTCAGAAGTGCTAAAATTCCAACTTACAGAAGGCATACTTAAATACCAAGTTCTGTCATGAAACTCTAGATGGCGCCGGCTATGGGTCCTTAATGTAACTGATGATATTCTTAGCACTAAATGACTTGTCACAAGCTGATTGGTTCGTGTTGCATACACAGCCAATGAGCTTGCTGCTTTACATTTAAATGGCTGATTAGCATTCACTTGAGCATTGCAGCGCGCTTATAGAGTTCCTCTGAAAACCTCCACCTTTCCCAGCTCCACCTGTATATATCTGCTACGGGTTATTTTATATGCTATTTGTGCAGCAGCATGTCTTAAATACTCACAGCACCATATCGGCTTATACATTGGCAGCAGAAAATTCCTGTACTTGCTTGCAGGAGCAGCAGCAGCAATAATCTACAAATACAGCAATAACCAACAGCAGCAGCAGCAGCAGCAGCGTAGCAGATCTATTCTGCCAAGACCAAATATATTAACATTGTCATATCATTACCATGCTAAAATCTTCAGAGAAATCTCATGATAGAACTAAGAATGTTTCAGGAAACACGTATTAAGGATAATATATAGCTTAAGGTATAACTTAAGAACGGTGTAGCGTTAAGAAGGTTTCGGGAAAAGCAGCCCAGAGCTGTTTTTGACAAGGTAAAGGGTGTTGTTTTACATGACCATTGAGCAATTTTAACCAAAGTATGTTACAGACATTTTATGAGGACCCTAAAGAATCATACTAACTTGAGGAAAATAAGGATCCGATGTCCCCTTTAAAAAGTGTGGAATTTTAACAGTACAACAATTGCAAGGTTTACATGGAGGCCTTAAACCAAAATCACTTCATGACATTTTAATCCAAAGACCTGTTCAGGATTTTCAGATGTTACATTTTTATTTAAATTTCTTATCGCTGAAAGTCTTATAAATGAATGCCTCTGGTGAGGTAGGAATTTGAGCAATAGTTACTCCACTAAATATTCAGGCGCTCCGAGCACTTGGGTGCATGCCAGACTCTGAGAGAATTAAGTTTGGGAATGACCTGAATTAATCAGCCATGGTCTTTATTTAATTTAGAGGGGCAGGTCTGTAGATAGTGTTAAGCCCTCGTATGCCCATACGGGCTTATCGCATTGCCCTTATTATATGTGCAGCATACCGTAATCCAAAAAAGCTGTGTTTCACACCAGTATCCCATCTTTGAGTCAGAATCTCTCAACTTATGGCATTCTTTTCTCTAGGCAGAGCAAGATAATGGACACCCTCTTCCGGCGTTCGCTAATCTCCACATTGAGGTGCTTGATGAGAACAATCAGGCGCCGTACTTCCAGGTGGCCACTTATCATGGATTCATCTCAGAGGCTGCTCCGCTGGGCACCACTATCTCGAGCAGTGCCAATCTCTCCACCCCCCTCGCCATTATCGCCCTGGATAACGACATTGAGGAGGTGAGGAGTCTCTCTTTCTGTGCTCGTGCTCAGACAGCAATCACTTTCACGTGTCCTGAGGGATGTGTGTATGTGTGTGTATAGAAATGTTCCTCTGAAGTTAACCAAAGCTCCTGCTCTATGGAGCGTTTAGAAAAGTGAATTAAAATTGAAAAGTGCATCAGAGATACAGTCTTGGAGGCTCGCACTTAGAGACTTATTGGGGAGGTGCTTACACTGCGCTAATGTTCTCTGGAGTGTTCACTCTTTGCAATTATCTCTGCTTTATAGATGGCAAAGGCAAAGTACTTAGAACATAGCGAACTCTGCTATGACAGTCGTCTTCTGCTTTAAAGGGACAGTGCAGCCAAAAATGAAAATTCTATCAGTCACCCTCAAGTCATTCTAAATAAGTGGAACACAAAAGAAGATATTTTGAAGAATGTTCATGCTGCTCTTTTCCATGCTACGTCTCTCATAAACTTTTATACTAGTATTGTGTACACTACTCGTCAAAAGTTTGGAATAATTAGGATTTTTTAATGGTTTTGGAAGAAGTCTCTTTTGTCACCAAGGCTGCATTTATTTGATCAAAATACAGTAAAAATAGTATTATTATAAATATTATATAACGGTTTTCTTTTGCAATATGTTTTAAAAATATAATTTATTCCTGTGATGGGAAAGCTGAATTTTCAGCTTAATTACTCCAGTCTTCAGTGTTACACGATCTTTCACAAACCAGTAATTATTACTGGTGCTAGAATGGTTCTTATTATTTACAAAATTGAAAACAGTTTTTAATGCTTAATATATATATATACTGTATATATTTTGGAAAACTACTTTGATGAATATAAAGATTAATGTGATATTATACATTTAAAAAATATATTATTATTTACTGTCACTTTTGATCAATTTAATGTGTACTTGCTGAATAAAAGTATTATTATTATTGTTATGATTATTATTTATTGTTTATTACTTTTTAATTATAGTGTATGAATGGTAGTGTATCACAAAAGCAGCAAAACTGCTGTCAACTTCAGCAAAGTTTTCAACTGAGAAATCTTTCTTGAGCACCAAATTAATGCTTTCTGAAGGATCATGTGGCATAAAGTAACAGCTGCTGAAAACTCAGCTATGCCACCACAGGGGGGAAAAAACGGAACATTTTGTAAAATATCTTCTTTTATGTTTCATGAAAGAAATAGTCGTACAGGTTTGAAATGACATAAGGTTGAGTAAACAACATCAGAATTTTTATTTATGGGTGAACTGTCTCTTTAATCCCATCAGTCTTAGAGATGGAAAACACTCTAATATCAAGCATATGTTTTGTCTCCCATCTAAAGCTGAATCTCGGTGATGTGCCTGTAGGTATTAATTAAATTAGTGATAGATGTGTGAAGTTAAAAGCCCTTGTTTGCCTTCTCTCTCTTTATCAATGTTGCTGTGCTGTCTTTTTGAATCATTCAATTTGCTTAATGCTGTGCATGACTATTGCCCTGCGTCTTGTTTATTGATTTTCGTTTACATTTTGGGCAGACTGGCAACTGAACTAATGTATCTCATTAATAATTAGGTCAATTTGGAGGACTGTGTTCAAACAAGTGACGAGTGTTTAATCTGAAGTGTGTTATTTGTGTGCTACTAAGTGTACTTGCAATAATAATAATATTTTTATATTCATATTCATTTAATATTTTATATTTATACTTATTTAGCATTGGCCAGATAGTCCTTCCTCAAACTTTGACACTGTTAATGAAGTGGTTCAAACAAACAGAGCAATGATTTGATAGCATCAAAACCATAACTTTTACATTATTTTACTGTAAAATTATATATAAAGATATGTTTTTTCACCATTTATGGTAAGGTAACTTAAAGTTATCCAATTAACAGGTTTTTACTCTAGCAATTTTTACTATAGCATGTTTACTGTTTTTTTTTTCTCTTTTTCTTAATGAAATATATTTGCTACATATTATTTATGTTTCCTTAAATAGGGAAATGCATTGACAACTTATGCACTTTATTTTGCAATTAATACTCAGGCACAAATATATGTGCTGCATACTTTTCAAGAGGTCAGCAGCAGTGTCTGTACCCGCATAATGCACAGTGTGGCATGAAAAATGTATGTACTGCAAGGGACGTAATGGCTGATTTAATAGTCTCCAGGTTGTAGCACTGGAGGAATTTCAGCAGGTATAAACGGCAAACAGCTCCTATTGATAATGGTGGGAATGAGAGCACCACATGATATCTCCAGCATTCATATAGATTACACAATCTGGATTGTTTTTAATCAGAATAGTGGTAATGAATTGACAGCGAAAATTATAAAAAAAAAAATTATTGATCAAAAGTGACAGAAAAGCTGCTTATAATGTTACAAATGATTTCTATTTCAAATAAAATCTGTTATTTACAGCCTTCTATTAATCAAAGAATCCTGGGGGAAAAAATCACCATTTTCAGAAAAATAATAAGCAGCAAAAACTATTTTAAACATTGCACACGATTTATTAATTCGTTCCCTCGATGTACTAAAACCTGCACAGGATTACTATTTTGTTTCCTCGATTTGCTAAATTGTGTGCACAATTTACTAATTTGTTCTCTCGATTTATAAATTGTGTGCATAAATGTATAAATCGAGGAAACGGAATAGTAAATCGTGCACACGATTTAGCCTACTATTTTTTTCCTGCATGCCATGTGTGGGGCTCCGTAAAGAACAATTATTAATTATTGATCAATTATATAGCAAATCAGTATATTAGAATTATTAGAATGGGTCATGTGACACTGAAGATTGGAGTAATGATGCTGAAAATTCTGCTTTGTCATAACAAGAATAAATTACATTTAAAATATATTCAAATATAAAAGTTATTTTAAATTGTAATAATATTTCACAATATTACTGCTTTACTGTATTTTTGATCATAATAAATGCATCTTTGGTGGGCATAAGCGATGTCTTTGAAAAACATTAGAAACACCTTCTTATTCCAAACGTTTGGTAGTGTACATGATAACATTATGTTTTACCTCAGTGCCGATACAACACTTTAACGCCACAAATGCTTTATTTTTGCACATTTCATAAGCATGAAAGTGCATTTTCAGCTGCTAGCTGACTCTTGGAATGCTGTTGCTCTTGTATAATCTCTTTAGATATTTATGATCCTTATTCATTTATTTTAACATTTCAGATATCAGTGTCTTAAACTTCACAAGTTGGTGCTTCTGAAATTTATTTTAGAAGGTTTTGAGTTGTTTATCTCTCTTTTGACTGGAGTTCTCCCTTATAAAGTGTGTTTCTCTAATGCACTGGATTTTATGAGCGTCTTTCCCATCCTTAGCAATTTATATAGTCAAATTCCCAGCATGCTCTGTCTTCTGATGTCTCTGCCTTCTGACATGGGAACTTACGGTGATTTATTTCCACTGCAGACGAAAGATCCCATGGTGCACATCTCTCTGGACAACTACAACAGCATCTTTGCAGTGACGCCCAGTGGGATCGCACGCTACCTGACACTACTGAGGCCCGTGGACCATGAAGAACAGCCGAGTTATGCCTTCACGGTAAGGGCTCCATGCCACCTTTCCTTGACAAGCCTGCTTAGCTCTGTCTCTGTCACTGCGGCTTGCATCTTTCATGTCAAGGACTTTGTCTAAACTTGCTTCACCACACACCACTTGATTTTTCGCTCCGGGGTTATTTTTAAAACTGCATACTGCACTAAAGGAATTCTGATCAAGTGCAAGCCATGCGGTCGTATAGATTATCTATGACAAGTGGCTCTTCTTAAGTACGTGATGTGGGGCAGTAGGCGCGTTTCCATTACAGATTTGCGCAAAACTTTGGCGATATTTTATAAATGACGATAAAAAAGTATTGCGAAATGACGGCGTTTCCATTAACCAATGTTATGAGACTTAAACGTAACCTTTTGCCTCTTCGCGATAAGTCATGGCAATGGATTTTGGTGGGATTTTGATGGGATTTTGGCTATATTTATTCAAAGGAGGCTTATGCGTGTATCTTTACAGAAGCAGCAAAGAGAGCAGCTTCAGAAACGTGCGTGGCGCGGCTGGAATAAACCATAGCCTGTATAAAAACATAAACACAAGCACTGAGTGGCCGTAATCAGCTTCAGTGACCGTATCAGAGCCACACTGCACCGCAGACGTGTGCAGTGTAAATTGTCTAAGCATTAATAGTAGGGAAAGCCCCTTATACTGGAGCGCGGCCACTTATGAAGTGTTTTTTGGAGGTTATAGTACATTGAAGAATGATCATATTTAAATTCACAATGCAGTTTAATGTTAAGAAACACCACCAGACTGTTTTGTAAACAGGGTATACCACAGCAAACGATGTACTGTCAACAACATTTATGATATAATCTAACATGTAACTACAAACAAGGCCGGTCATTTTTAAATGAATCACTGGAATTCATGCTGAGTTACATGTCACAACTAGTAATGGGAAATTAGACTAATTTCTGTGAATCTGTTCTGTTCTTAAAAGTTCTCTTTGTTATTAAATCTGTATAAAATGAAAAATCAAAGACACATGTCAGTCATCAACAATGAATGGCAGTAACGCATCACGGTAAAAAAAATAATCATGAGGATTTACCAACACCTTGTGTATTTTCAGTTTTTTTTATTTGTTTTATTATTTGAAGTAAAAAATGAGCAAGAACATCGCATAAATAAGCGATTCTGCGATTTATTTAGGTCATGACGAATCGCTTTTTTTTCTAAATCAAATACCTATCATTTGACGTCATGACGTATTTACGTCATTATGTGGTTCCTGACACTCTGGTATGGTACATTCTGCGCAAACACTCGGCTCGTTTTTCGTTTAATTACGAATCGACCATATCCGAAAGAGACTGTTCCCGGTTCGATTCAACGAGTCACTAGGCGCGTTTCCATTACAGATTTGCGCAAAACTTTGGCGATATTTTATATTTTATAAATGACGATAAAAAGTATTGCGAAATGACGGCGTTTCCATTAACCTATGTTATGAGACTTAAACGTAACCTTTTGCCTCTTCGCGATAAGTCATGGCAATGGATTTTGGTGGGATTTTGATGGGATTTTGGCTATATTTATTCAAAGGAGGCTTATGCGTGTATCTTTACAGAAGCAGCAAAGCGAGCAGCTTCAGAAACGTGCGTGGCGCGGCTGGAATAAACCATAGCCTGTATAAAAACATAAACACAAGCACTGAGTGGCCGTAATCAGCTTCAGTGACCGTATCAGAGCCATACTGCACCGCAGACGTGTGCAGTGTAAATTGTCTAAGCATTAATAGTAGGGAAAGCCCCTTATACTGGAGCGCGGCCACTTATGAAGTGTTTCTTGGAGGTTATAGTACATTGAAGAATGATCATATTACTTTTTACATACGCAATGTGACCTATAAATGCGAAAAAGCCATTTCCATTGCAGTTTTGCAAATTATTCCTTTTTCGCATTGCCTGAAAAACCACCTCATGCGAGCGTAAAAACTTTTTTGCATATATGGGCGTTTTTGAGAAATTGACGTGTTTCCATTAGGCATATTTTCAATTCGCAATTTGAAGGGTAATGGAAACGCGCCTAATGACAAGTGACAAGATATACAGTATTTTTAAAGAAATCTAGTTGAAAGCATGTGCACCAAGTTCTTAGAAATGTAGTCTTTGTATTCATCTTGTTTTCAAGAGGTTTTGAAAATAATTTATACCAATATAGTTCATATATCATGTAGACAGAAGTGTTTTTTTCTCAAAAATGTTATTTTAACTAAATATTCTTCATGCTTCTCTTTTTATCTAAGAAATAATGGCACACTTTACAATAAGGTTTATTAGTTAACGTTAATTAATGCATTAACTTATATTAACTAACAATGAGCAATACATTTGTTGCCGTATTTATTAATCTTTGTTAACATTAATAAAAGTACAACTCTTCATATTTGGTTCATTTGAGCTCAGGTGCATTCATTAATATTAACATATACAATTTTGGTTTTTAATAATGTATTACTACATATTGCAATTTATATGATCTAGGATTAATAAATGCTTTACAAGTATTTTTCATTGTTAGTTTATGTTATCTAATGTAGTTAACTAAGGTTAATAAAAGGAACCTTATTGTAAGGTGTTACTGAAATAATTACAAAATGTTATGTCAAACTACTTGATAACATTTTATTTCCAAGAATTTCATCCATTTAAATCTTTTTAATGAGACTTTTTTTTTCCCTAATTCTGATATCAGAAAAGTTGTATCTGACTGTAACGGGACTGACGAGACGTGAGACGTGTGGATCCATCTGCAAGCTTTTATTTAAGAGACGGACATTTACCATTTAACTTAATTTTATGTATGTACAGTATGCATGCATGTATGTATGTAATAATTTATTTTTGGTTATTTAGATGCAATACAGATATTTGGCCCTGTAATTGCAGGCAATCTTTTTACCAGAGAGACTATAATTAACAACATCAACAAAAACATAATATGTTTTGAGCGGGTAACTGTCTCCCATTGTTGTATTGATTCATTGAAAACTATTGTTTTAAAATGCATAACATTACCAAAGTTCGGTGGCACTGACATTCGGCATAATGATTGTTAGATATCTTACCAAAGATCTTAACACAAATTTTCCATATTGCAGCTTTCAGTAGTGTTAGTTACAATGCTGAATATCACAATGCTGCATCAGGTCACATGGACAATGCAGAGCACTGCAGTCATGCCATCAGTAATTCTCTCAGGATCCTGCTATACAATTCACACAAAAGCACCATATTTCCCTGCCTATCTATCGTACTGCATAACAGAGATATACAGATCTCAATTTGGTGCCATGTAGGCGATTGCGGTTTTCCCCACATTTTTACTTGGCGGTGAATGGATTTGAATTAACGCTGAGCACGTCCATGGTTATTTTAGTCTGTGACATATATTACAGTGATACAGTGGAGTGTATTATAGTGCTGTCGGCCTGTTAATGAGATAGAACAATGGTATTTTTAGGACCAGGGAAATTATGGAAGTGTGGGTCATACTATTATGACCTACACAAAGAATACCCAAGTGCATCTCCCTTGTTAATGGAAACACGTTTGCTGGAATTGTGTGTTGGCGCACTTACTTGTCAATACATGCTTAACAGTTTTAGCACCATTTTCTACAAAGCCAGAATACTTAATGTATTGTAAAATGATTTTCTGAGCAATTGTATGCAATTATTATTATTATTATTATTTTAGTTTGGTGTCGTGAAGTAGCTGTCTAACAATCATTTTATAAATATAAGGCATTATGATAATATGTATCCTAATTTAACTATAGGATAATCTGTTAAATTAATTATACCTTATAATAATAAGCTTAACAAAAATATTCCTTGTTACATATTCCTGGTTATACCTTTAAAGTGTCTACTGCATTATGACATTAACATTCTTTTTTTCATTTGTATTTTTGTGTGAATATTTATTAAATGTTAGTGCTAGAAATTATAACTAAATCAAACAACTTCATTCAAATGTTTTTTTTTAATCAAAAAACAAATGTGATAAATAAAATAACAGTAAATAAATTGTTCATGTTACAAAAGATTTATATTTTGAGTAAATTCTCCTCTTTTTAACTTTCCATCCTCAAAAAACAATAAATTGCAGTAATATTTCACAGTATTACGGTTTCTACTGTATTTTTTTTTCTCTCAAAGCATAAGAGGATTCTTTCAAAAACATAAAAAATCTTATATTTTAAATAGTTTTTAATTTATGTCTTTCTGTCTGTCTGTCTATATACAGGGCCATCCTTATACTGTATATCATTATATTGTCCATATGTCATGTTTCTCTGCTAGCTGTTTTACCAGTTTTCCTGACAGTAGTAGTTGCTAACCTTCCTTCTCAGCTGCATATACACATGAAATAACTTATGCAGTAATGGTGCCTTTCAGTAATGCATCTCATTTACTCTTACTGGAGACGTACGTCCTTGAATTTGTTTTTAAGCAGAAGGGACCGACATGAAGGACTCCACCTAAGCGGCACCCTGGAGCTAACTGAGATGTCTGAGCTGTCTAGTTAGACGTACCAAACTTTGCACATGTGATAAGCTCAGCTCTTGAAGCACCTCGCTGAAGCGATGTCATGACTCTAGGATTGATTTCCCTCTTAAAGTTGGGTAACACTGTCTCTGTGGCAACAGCAGTTTCCAATTTCACCATTATTTGTTGAAGTACAGTACACTCTAAACACTTCCTAATTTGCCATTTGTTGATGTCACAACTTTTAAATTAACTAGTTTCAGCCAAAACATTGTTCAAAACTTGATTCAAAACGATACCTCAGTGTTGCATTTGATCAGTCCAGATGTTTTTTTTTTTTTTGTCTGTTGTTATTATTGCATGAGCTTCAGCTTCTTTATTAGAATGATACAGTGAAGAGGAGGCAGGAAATTGTCAGGGAGAGAGAAGTGACATAGGATAATTGCATTCCCCATGCCAGACGCAAACTTGCATCTACCATATGAGTGCCACA